ACATTTTTTACTTACAATTAGCATTTTCAAATACAAGAAAGTATACTTTGTAATTTCACGATAGATAACATTTAAAGTACTTCAAAACTTTTCCTTAAAAATATACCATACAGAAAACTCAACCAAGCAAATAGCCTAAAATAAAACAAACTTTGGGAATGAGCGCTATTAGCCCATATCACTACACTTTTATCCCACCCTTTACCTTAAGGCATAGGTCTATGCAGTTTTTTAATTACTGAAACTATTAGGCTGAATAAATTTTAGTATAAATAATTTTCAAGTTTCGTAAATGACTGCATAACACCTATTGTATTTCAATTATTTTCAGTGATAGCTATGTTTAAAAAATACATTTAAAAGTGTTTCTTATTTAAAGAAAAAGCTTTTTAACGTTATTTTATACCTAGTCAAATTTCTACACTCTAACCCTTTAAACTATAATAAAATAAAATTAATAAAGTTATATACCTACTTATATAGACTTGGGTCGATAGTTGAAGCATAGTTCTCTATATCCTCTCTCCTGGAATTAAAGTATAGAATACACCACTTCCACGCAGCATGTTTGTAAATAACTATTTGCAACTATGAAAAAATCGAATGTTTTATAGCACGTCGCAGAAATCCCGCACTGCCATAAACATCGGTGATTCATGATCACACAATAGGGTCGTTAGGTGACACGCGCGCGGGGGAGGGGGGCTACCACGATGGCTGACGATTGGGTATCGAACATGTGCTGTATGACACTAAGTGTCACCAAGATGCTAATCCCGTGGACTGTCATACGACAATTGGATAATTTGTTAATGAAAAATGTATGCCACTACACGCATCATGTTAAAATCTTGCAATTTAAATTTACTTTATTGCTACACATGTGATAGTGTATGACACTTTTATTTTGTTTAAATCGATTTTCAATACAGGACTAAAATTAATATAGTCACTACGTGTACTAATTTCCCTTAATTAATCTACAAAGTTATACAAATATATAAGACATATGAATTGTTTGGTTGCATGTACGGAGCATGCGTTAAACAAATTCCTTCTCCCCAATCCCCCCCCCCCCCCCCAGTTCATGTCTATGTAGACAGTCAAAAACCCATATGACTATATGTAAAAAAAATCCAATTTTTTAATTTAATGAAATGTGATATATGTAGGCTTAATATGTTAATAACTTCTTTGTGTGTAATATGTAATGTAAACTCACATATAGTATTCTATTGGGTGTAAGCTACACATGTTTAGTTCCATTTGTTTTTCCTTATACTTTAAAGTACTAGATGACAATGTTATCTCTTTACATTACAGTTGCATTAGGGTTAAATATTTATTTATTTTTTAATCGAAGCATTGCCTAGCTAGAGAAAACCTAGCTAACCCGAATGTCTCGAGTACGAATCAGGGTTAAAGTCAGTGGAACGTCCCTAAGTCCACCCATCTCAAATGGGTACCTAACTCACGTTAGGGAAAGTAAAGGCGGCTGGGCAAAGTACTGACCACATTATCCTTTCATATGCCGAGGTCAAGAAACATATGAACTCTACTTCATCGGCCCAATGGATCGAAGTAATCAAATGCACATCTCTTCCCGTACAGCATGATTATGTTATTCGTCGTTTTTTTCTATGCATATCAAACAGTTACCGTCAAATGATACTGTCCCTCTGGAATCTCCTTTACCTTCACATATAATCCTGTGTCTACTCACAAGAAAAGTTATAACAGGCAAAAGCGATATTTTAAATGAATTTTGCCTATTTACAAAGATCATCGGTTTTTTTTTTAAAAGTAGTTTCGTGTACATATACGCCCCCCCCCCATAGGGATATTAAAAAACAATACCTACAATTTATTTGTTAAAAAAATAGTGGAAGATGAGGCACTTAAGTGCGTCTAAATTGTATGTGACAAAATGCAATGGAAGAGAGGTAAACGAGGGATGATGACACATTTGTAATCGATTATTTTCCATAAAAACTTTAAAATATTTTCTAATATAGGCCTAAAATATGCCATTTATCTTGAATGGCGGGGTTTAGTAAACCATTATCGACCGTGGATACTTAGATTTATGCGTGATAATATTCTTTAACTTCTTTTTTCTGTACAATATCATTTCATAAACGTTGAAGCTAATTGGGCTCATGTTTATCTGAATTAGAATAAGTATGCCAAAAACGTATATGTATGAAATTAAATACGTTAAGAGTTATTACACTCTTCTACTATTGCGAGGGGAATATGCCAATTAATTAAATTACTATTAAGCTAACAATTATTATTTTTCTCCATTGGAATGTCGTACATTTATGAGCATTCACCAAGAAGAATTTCGGGTAGTAAAACGTCTAGGCTTAATTTCTAGGAAGGTTGTCTTGTTGTAATTAATGATCAACATTGTCTAAAATCTTGGTGACACTATCTCATTCTGGGCGAGTTTGGCACCGGAAATACATCACCGTGACAGGCGACGCCCTCCGTGTCACTTTAATTATGTCATTGTTTGGCTGAAAATGGAAGCACGCAGATCCAGAGATACTTTACGTCACCTACGTTTCTTTTCTTGCCCTACCATAAATTACCTACAGTATTTTAAAAATAATTTTATTTTTTAAATACTTGATCTTTGACCAGCCTCACCCTCCCACTAACACAATGTTTATTACAATGATCTAACAAAGGTATAATATAATGGAAATCGTGCAGAAAAACATGCCACTAAGCCTGATTTTATTGCCTTAATACAGGGGTTCCCAACCTTTTTTTTTACTCTAGAGCACATTCTAAAATATCGGTAGGGTGACGGGCACCACCTATTTTAAATTGACAAACTCCTTCCAGAGGCGTAGCGACCCTTCCCGTCACCCGGGGACAAAACTTTCGATTTGCACCCCTCCCCCCTCAAATTTTCGATTTGCACCCCCCCCCCCTCGAACTTCGATTTCCATCCCCTTCAACCTTTCAATAATGTTTATGAAAAAAATTCTGTCTCTGGCGAATACTGAGAGGCGGGCACATAAGAATTGTTCGGCGGGCGCCATGGCGCCCGCGGGCACGGGGTTGGGAACCCCTGCTTTAATATGTCGATTCAAAAAATTGGTGCTAAGGGAACGTGTGTATTTTATAAAAAACAAATGGGATATGGGTGTGTTTCATTTTATGACTATTAAGCCTATAGCTAATAATGGGGGGGGGGGGGGGGGTGCCTTTGTACATATTTTTATTTATGCTCTTACGGCTTAATATAATATATAAAAATAAAGAAGAAGCATTTTTTTTAAAATGTGATTCCAATCATTTAAAATATCACAAAGCACGTTTTTGTGTGTTTGATATAGGCACCCCTATAACATTTTGTTAGATAGGCAGGAGATGCATTTTAAGATGAACTATGTTTGTGTTGTGAAATCGGTGCATGGACCAGTAGCGTAGCGAGGGGGGGGGGGACATATGTCCCCGGGCGCCGACCTTAGGGGGCGCTAAAATGGGTTGGAAAAATAAATTGAAAGGTTGAGGGTGGTGTAAATCGAAAGTTTGAGGGGGGGGGGGTGTAAATCGAAATCTTGAGGGGGGGGGTGCAAATCGAAAAGTTTGTCCCTGGGCGCCGGGTAGGGTCGCTACGCTTCTGGCATGGACCCTGAGAATTTGAAACTGGAAATCGTTAAAAACAAAGGGGCATTATCGCTGTTGCACTAGGTGTATTGTGGTGTATGACAAGACCTTTCAACACGGTTACACCCGTGTAAAAGTTATCTTTTCATCTTACTGCATTCAAGTGATATTGTTTGGTTACCGCAGACCAATCATGCTAGAAATACAAGGATAGCATCAGTGTCGACCAAACACGATATCGAGAAACTTTACCTCATAATTTACCTCAGCCAGAAAAGCCCCTTCTACTATTTTTTTAAACCTACCCCCCCCCCCCACACACACACATACACAATCAAAAAGATCCGCCATGGTTTTTTTACACCTCCAAAATAAACATAAATCCTTAATAATAAATATTTTACTTAATTTTTTTTAAAACGAAATCTAAAATTATGACACATTTTCTAAAGCCCCCTATGTTTATTTATTAGCAAAGTCAGACCCCTGAACCGGGTTCATTTCATGATTTCTGATGTAAATGATCGTTATAGATGAATACAGACAGTATTCTATTAACTAGTTTTGACGCCGAACAATCGCTGGCTGAACGAAATATAGTCCTACGGAAAAAATACCACTTAAAAATAACACAAACCCCAATTCTAAATAATAACATCAACCACAGGCCTATTACGACAATTGGTGAACATGACTTTTTTTTCATTTATTCAAAACTTTATTGGGGGAAAGGTGGGGATTAAGTATTAATTTAACATTTTTAAGGACGAAAACTACGATAATAGTGAAGTAGTGTTATCATAAAAAATGGGGGAGGGGAGCGGCTGTAGGCTAGTGACATATTTTATTCTTAGGGGTTTGTGGATATTAGTGCAGAGTTTCTTCTAGGCATCTTTTTTTTGGGGGGGGGGGGGGGAGGGGGGAAGCCCCCCCCCCTCCCCCCCATAGAAAGTCTACCGCCCTTCCGAACGAAATGGAATTTATATAGAAAACATATACTATAACCAGTGTCCACCCCCCCCCCCCCCCCCGAAAAATGTTGTCCGCCTCCCTGAACATATAAAGTGCCCCCACCCTGGAGAAAAAGTCTGGAAGAAACACTGTATTAGTGACGACATGTACGCCTAGCGTGTACGCTTACTATTAGTACATCGACGACCTTTCGATGTGTTAAATACAGATAAATTTGCAAACAAAGCGCATTTTATTCAGTGAAGTGCCACACCAATATCGTGTAATATTCCTCACTAGCCTACTTTAGAAAATGTCATCAAATAATATACAAACTGATTAAAAGTGGCTTTATTTAGCAATAATACGGTGCTTGTGAGTAAGAAATACAATGTGTACGAGTATCTGGTTGATAGGCTACTTCCGGTTTAGACTTAACACGGCGTTGTTGTCTTGTTGTGTGTATGAATGTATGTGCTACAATTTTACTACATTAATACTTTATTTTCCCATATTCTTTCGCTTCTGATTCCAATCTAGGTCTTTAATATTTTTGTTGAAATGATTAATACACCCAGTGTTGTGTACTAAGCATGTTACGTTCGGATGCACAACAGTTTACCAACTTGTCAGACATGATCATGACCCGGCATTTGGCCAACAAACTGAAAAAGATAAAATAATTTTATAATTAGTAATTACTAATTAGGCTAGCTAGAATCTAGGCCTATTATTAAAATTTGATTATAGAAATCTAGATCTAAGCACTGAAAAAATATCGAGGATAAAACTTAGTTGACATATTTTCCTCTGTTGTAGACTGAATATTTGCTGGCAACCTGCAGAATTTTGACTGGGGAAATCCAAAATAGTAATAGTGCAGGATAGTTGATTTTTGGTAAAATTCTCACAGGCCGTCTTGACATTTTCCCCTACCCAGGCTATCAAGTCGTTTTAGGTGGGGCATAAAATGCAAGACAAAAAACTGAAACATGGCTGCGGTTTTTGCCACCTCGCATTTTCTGCCTCACAATTTAATCCTCTCAAACTTTACCATCACCCAAATAATTGAATAGTTTTCTGTTTAAAATCTACAAGAACTATTTAATATATATTATATATGTTTGATTGTACATTTTATACTCTTTAATGCTCCATTGTTGTGTACTATCAGTTTTTATTTTATCAACAAAGGATATAAAATGGCTGAAGCAGAACCCGTTGTAAAAGTTGAGGTAACTACTAAAGAATCCAAGTATGAAGGGAAAAGTCGCCTCAAACAGGAGCCAGACACACCTGGAAAAATAATGGTTTCTGGAATTCCTAAACAAAAAGAGTATAAGGAAAGTGATCTTGAGAAAGAATTTGCTCCCTATGGCAGAATTACTGAAGGTAAATGCTATGATGAAGAAGTTTATTATGAAATAAATTAGACATACTGGGCTTACTAGCTGCGTTATATTCTGTTTTATTCAAATATTTGGGAAAAAAAATTTAAAAATCATAAAATGTCAAGGTGGTTGAAGTAGATGTAAAAAAAATGCGTACGTCTAACTTTACACCAGACTTATTAAAGATCTTAAGCATTCACCACAGCCTAAAACTTAACCCATGCCCCAACCCTAGACATTGGAGTCTGACCCTTAACCGAGCCCTAGTGCTAACCCTTGCCCTAACCCAAACTAGGGGTTCCCATTATTTTACATATGGGCTTAGCGCTTAATAGTTAGGCTTTTTAATGGTTGACTTAAACAAATAAAGCACATTTCAACACAGCTATTACTTTCAGCATTTTCATTTTGTTTCTGTAACATTTGGATGATTTAGAAATTAAAATTAAAAAACAGTAAGATCTTTTATCTACAGTTTCTTATTTTTTGTTTTTTAAAGTGAATATAATCAGAGACAGAAGAAGTGCATTACCAAGAGGATTTGCCTTCATCACATATGAGAACCCCCAAGATGCTGAAGATGCTATTAAAGCTATGGAGGGAAAGGTATTTTTAAAAAGTGATTTATTGTAATGTTAATCTTTTTTTTTTTTGCGTGAATAGTATCAGTGTTTTTTTTAATATCTCCTTGATTATCAATTTTTAGGATTTTGGAGGTGAAGCACCCATTCATTGTGAACAAGCAGTGATAGGGTTAAAAAAGACAAAAAAGTTGAACAGTCTGGATAAGCTTTCTACCAGAGGAGGACCCAGGGGCAGGATATCTCGGGGTGCAGACAGGGGTGGGAGAGGTAGAGGTCTGGGGAGAGATTTGGTGAGAGGGCGTGGCATGGATGGTAGACCCATGAGAAGTCGAGGCATGAGAGGTTTTGCTGCTGGAGGAGGTGGGGATAGATTTCGTGAAATGTATCCAGAGGAAGAGTATTATGAGGAGTTTGGTAACAATGAAGGCTATGAGGAGTACCCTCCTTCCAGAGGAGGCATGCAGTTCAGAGGTGGTCCAGGGAGAGGAGGTCCAGTGAGGAGAATGGCGAGAGGGGGCCCACCAGGAAGAGGATTCCCCTATGGCAGGGGTGCCCCTCCACCATTTGGACGAGGCATGCCAGGTAGAGGTGGTGGTGCAGGCGAAGAATATTCCCAAAGAGGTGCTGGTTTCAGGGGCGGGGCCTCTAGGCGGGCGTTACTTCCTAGCCCACAAGCAAGACGAGGTCGAGGTCATGTGAGAGGTGGGGAAGAATACTACGGAGACGAAGGCAATGGTTATCAGAATGATGAATACTATGAGGGTCAAGGTGAAGAGGCTTACACAGAGGGTGGCTACGAGGAGCAGTATTCAGAAGAAGCAAGTTACCCGAATGATTATTACACAGAAAGACCCGAACCCCATCCTAGAGGAGCTGCTGTACCCAGAGGTAGAGGAGCACCTCAGCAGCCCAGACAAGTTGATGAATATGGCTATGGTTATAATGATCTAGCCATGCAACAACACAGAGCCGCAAGACCACCAAGTAGGTTGAACTGTTATTTGCACTTAAGATTTCATGTTCCTGTTTATATTTCAATGCATTGTTAAAAATGAAGATTATGCTTGAGTTATTGATTTGTTTAAATATATTTCAAGCAGCAGCACCTGTACCCAGAAAGCCTAATATAGCACCATCTTATGGGGAGGAGGGTTATGAAGAGGAAGATCCCAGGGTAATGCAGGATCCTTATGGCAGATCAAGAGGCAGAGTCCCAGCCACTGCAGGTATCTGATTTTGCTATACTGTCTTCTAGTCTATTTACAAAATTTAAACATTTTTTAATGATTTAATGTGGCAATGAGAGGTTATGAAATAAAAATCGACTCCATTTCTATATTTGACTCCTTCATTAGTGCCTAGTAGATTTCTTCAGTGGGGGAAATATTTAACAACGCAGTTCCAAGTTCAGTTATGACCAAGTTTATTTATCTGAATTTATCATATGCACAGTCAATTTAATCCTAACTCAAGTATCCTACACATTACTTCTACTGATTGATCCACTATAACTTAGTATTAGTACAACAATTTACTCTTCAACTATAACCTAACTAATCCAGCTCCAAGTTACTAGCATTATCTATCTCCAACTGCTACATGTTAGCGAAGCCAACTGCATGCTATCTCTGACCGCTCACCTACAGACTTGACTGGTCATCTCATTCTCATTGGTCGGACTATTTGATTGGCTCTAATCTTACTCTACCTCTGAGCTGCTTGACCTATGGCTATTTCTTAACTTTTTCCTATTCTCCCATCTGTTTGACCTGTCTCTAAATTATTTAAGTTAACGTAATCCCAGATGGGCATTATTTTGATTATTTCATGGTACAGCTCCCGCACCAAGACCTGGTCGTGGTGTAGCGGTCAACCGTGGGGCAGCAGTAAGCCGTGGTGCAGTTCAGGCTAGGAGAGGTGGCTTACTAAGGCCAGACCCTTACATGGGGCAAGACGCATCAGCCGCCTATGCAGAGGAGTCCTACAATGAAGCATATGCCAGGAGAATGCCAGCAACTACTACTGTTAGACAACCTGCCCCCAACACAAGGCCGAGGCCCCCTGCTGATGACATGTTAGTTTTTTATTTTGTTTCTTCTTCATTATTACTTTTTTTTTCAATTACATTTTTAGCTGTATATTTGTGGTGGTGAAAGTAAACATTAGATGCTGTGCTCATTGTAAGTAAAAAAACAACGGAATACTACTTTTCTTTGTAAACAGCAGTGTAAATTATTTACAATTTTCTTCCTTTAAAATGTTGTTGAACTATGTAAATACAATACATCAGAAATTATCATTTAATGTTCATATGTCTTTAAATTAAAATAACTCAGACTTATTAAAGATCTCAAGTCCTGATATAAAACTTGAGATAAGATAACCAATAAGATATTATCTGTTGTAGGTATGCCACAGAACGACCTCAACCAAAGCCTCAACTTATGTCAATAGACCCTGCTGCACAAAGAAGGGGAATGGCAGGTTAGAATTTACTTTGTTTCTTCTGTGCTTGGTAAATCTTCAATCTGCCATCAGCTGTTTAGGCCGTCTCCTTTTCAAACACTTTTCCCTGTAGTTTTCTAAAGCTGTTTATTGTTTTTACTAAATAAATGTTGTATCCCGAAACAGCTGCTGCGGCCGCTCGGTATGCTGAGGAGTACCAGGGTGCAAGTAATGCTAGAGAGGCTTATGTGGAAGCTAGGAGACGACGGTAACCCACATTTTAATTTAATGTTCCTAATTAAATATAACATGATTAGTTCACTGTTAATTTAATGAATTTTAACTATACATATGTCTGGAACTTTTGTTGGTGATGTTCAATGCTCCAATCTTGTTGGTATTGCTACCCTAATTGAAGCCCTAACACTAATCCAACCTAAAGTATCATCCATATTATGAGGGTCAAGGTGAAGAGGCTTACACAGAGGGTGGCTATGAGGAGCAGTATTCAGAAAAAGCTAGAAATCCACCTCCACCTTAAAAATATCACAATATTTCAACAACCCCCACTCCTCACTAAAATAACCACGTCTTATCTAAAATGATGGGCATTTCGTCATTAACATTCTGAATAATTAAGAGATAAAAACATGCTGTCACTTTTCTTAACGCTTATTTACTACATAGCCTAACGTCACACAAAGCTGAATCTACTCCTTCTGACCATCTAGTGATGTTACTTATAGATGAACATGGCAGAAAATAAACTTGATAAATAGCATATTGTCCAGCCTACATAGCAACCAAAATACCCTTGTAACAATGTGAACAAGTTAAAATTAATTTGAATCACATCCCAATTTTTTATTGTATGTGTATTTTATTGTATATTATACCAGAGCTGAAGCTGAATATCGTATGAGGGAAGACCCATACAGGGAGCAAAGGGCTGCTGCGGAAACTGATATGTATGTTTCTTATCCAACAAATGCAAGGATGCCCAATGAACCGGCTGGGTATGTACCTGTGTATGTGATGAAAATATGTTACATTTCTTGGTTAATTAAACTCTGAGCATCTATTGGTATTTACATTTATATTTACACCATGTTTTTACAAAACAAAAAAAATCAATAGTTGTATTGTTCATATATATGAAGTGCTTAAAATTTCAATAATATAATAGATATTGTTGATAATAAATTACTTCAAATTGAAATTCTAGGCATTGTTGGCCTTAAAATGCTACAAATGAAAACATAGTAAGTGTTGGTGACTTCCACATATACAGAGACAAGGCTTTTCTGTTTATCTTGTTTATGTTTACCCTGTTCAAAGATTTTTTATATCTACTGGGTAAAGCTTGTGAAGCACCAATTAAAATTTGTATGACCAACCATGTATTTCAGACGTAAACGGCCTGTGGATCCTTATGAAGAAGGAATGGAAGCTGCAAGGAATGCAATGCTGGCTAGACGAGAATATGAAGAATACAGATCAGGGCAAGCTGCAGTACCTGCTAAAAGAGAGAGGTACATTTCTGTAGTGTTTTAACGGCACCTGCCTTTGTAGGGGGGGGGGGGGGGCATAGTTCTACTCAACTTTAAGGGTCAGAGAAATCCCATTGTCAAACTCAAAAAAAAAAAACAATTTTGAACTATACTATAGCAGTGATGGCTGTTTCCCTCAAAAACCTTGTTAAAAATATTTCAAACCTTTCTGAGGGGAAAAAAGTGCTTGGAGAAATGTCATTGATAAAAAAACAACTGTTACTAGGGTATTATAAGTGCTGAATGCTTCAAGTTTGTAAGATTATAATTATTTTAGAATGGCCAGTGTTTGAATGTTGTTTTGATTTGTGTTATAGAAAATTTACTAGTTTTTGGCAGATTGTTTCTGTTATCACTTTGTCATGCAGCAAGTGTAACATTAACTAGTTAGAATTTTTACATTTTATAATTGATAAAATATATCTGTATTCTCAGGTTAGATAGAAATGCCTATGAAGCTTACTCATCAAGACAGGAAGGTGTTTACAGGGGACTTTAAATGTAAGTTAGTCTTTAATTCACCACACCAAAATAGGGTTTTAAGACAGAATACCATATTTCTTGAATGAACACCAGTAGAAAATACATTTTAAAATATACATTAATTAATTAATATATATAATAGTAAATTATAATAATTATAAGGGATTTTTATTTCATGCTTAATGAACTTAGTGCAAATTGGTGTGCTTGTAATCACTAGTACATTTTTTAAGAGGTTGGTGTAATCTCTAACAGTTTATTTAGTTTTAATAAGCAGTGAATTTTACATTTCAACATTAGAATTTGAATTACACAAGTTCAGTGTATACCGTTTAAAAATACTTCAATATTATGGTTAGATGCATTTAAACATGTATTCTATATTTCATAGCTGGCTATAAAAAATATTCAATGATAGTCATTAGACATGCCATTACTCTAAATGTAAAATAATGCCTCTGAGTGTAAATAATGAATACACAGAAAAATTAGCCTACTGCCATAATTAAATTTTGTTGAAATGTAGAATTTTTATACACAGTAATTTAATTAAAAAGAGATACCTACTTGAACTTTTAAAATAATAAATACAAAAGAAACAAACTTAAGTAATATACATTGAGTAACATGGCTAATCATATGCATGCACTCTGAGCAAACTCCTACCAAATATTGATTGGCAAAAATTTGTAATATAACTAAAAATTCAACATTTTATGGAATTGCAATAGCTCTACTCACACATCTGAATGAATATCAGTATAAAAAAATTGCATTGTTTTCACAAAATAATATGCAGAAAGGACACTGTCAGGGCATCTTAATGAGCAAGATGTAAAATTTATGATCCACTTTGAAAATGTATTATTATTTATGAGAGGTTGTCATTGGTCACAGCCAATCTAATGATCCTGCCTGGACATTTTAACCACAATGTGCCTCATTCCTTCTTCCAGTAGATTGTGCTTCAGATTGAATTCAACTTCTGACCTGGATACTGCAGGGGACTAATGGTTACTCCTTAATATAAGACCCTTAGTAGAGAATAATGTACAGTCTCGGTTGGTTGTTTATTAGTGTTGTTGGAATTTGTAACGAAACCAAAAGCTGAAAGGGTGGTTTCGTGTTTGAATGCTGAAAACCAGCTTCAAAAAATGTATCATAGCATAGACGTAGTGTACGTTTCTCTTGAATCTAGTTATCCAGAACATGAGTGTCATGTACTGGTCTCTCAGTTTTGTTCCAGTTGTATTTGTTTTAGTCACTCACTGCCAGTCTTCTCTGTGAAGTGATTTTATATTATGTGAAAAAGCTATTAAGCTAAGATTTATGTTGTACTTATTTTATAGCAGTACTATCAAATAATAAAAATAACCAGTGATATCCAAAGCACAGAAATGTCAAAAAACTGAAACAAAAGCACACAGTGTTACATAAGAAGTAGGGTCTTACAGTATTTTAATTTGTTTTATATAGATCTAGACTTAAAATAAAACTTTCATGAAAATGCAATATTTATTTTAAGCACAATTATTTACATTGGAAAAACAACCAAAATAATAATTTTAGAGATCTCAATTTTTTTGTTAACAAAATTTGCTGCTTACTCAATAAATTAGATAATTCCTACATTTTTAAAATATAAACACATATAATTTCTGGATTAAAGAAAAAATAAATTGCCTAACACTTCGCCAATAGGCTTTAATGAGAAAAATTTAAAATACAATAATTTAGCTTAGATGTAATTTAATTGTGCTTAGTTTCAAGACAAAGTTACAGATAATTAGTACAACACTAAACATTCATTTAAAATTTCAGTTCTTTCAAAGTTATTGTACAGAGCAATATCTCATTCAACTGAGCATAAAAGTGTAATATTTTTCATTGGACATACACATTTGTTTACAAGAGCAACTTTCACATAGGTGACTAGCAGGGTCATAACTTATATCTTATTCACATTTGTAAAACAACACCACTTGTAATGATGTGTTCATTAATTTAAAAAATTGAATTATGCTGCTGGGCTTAATTTTACCCAAATGAATTATTATGTTTCTGTAAAAAAAAAAACACGTCACAAACAGTTTTAACTAGGATAATAATTATTGTACATTTATGTTTTGTAATTATGTGCATTTTTATTTTTAAATAAACTAATTTAAAAAAAAAAGAAAAGAACTTCTTTAATTAATTACAATTCCTGCTCCTCTGATTGCATTTAATGAAAAGAGAAAGTACAAGTTAATAATGCAGTAATTTCAGTAAATGAAAATCAGTAACTGATTTATCCAATTCAACTTCTAATTTTATAACAGCAACTTGAAGTATAGTTGAGCTGTTATGTAATACCCTGTTATAGGATTAGCACACTCTGAACAAATAAAATAGCCTACTGGTATACCATAAGATTAAGTTCACCCAACCCGAGAACACTCGGAACAAATATTGTACTGCTATGGGCTTGTGTTCCCCTACCCCAAGCACACAATAAAAAACAAATCCACAAAGAAACAAGGCAGATATTACATTAGCAAGTCCCCCTGATGATTGGCTGGATGTTACACAAGAAAGTTAAACTTGATGTCAAAGTCTACTGCTACAGGTAACTACATCTAATACACTACCGCCTCACAGTCCATCTAGATAAGTGCATACAAATATTGTTTAACTTGAATAGGGCTACCAACATAGCCCTGAACAAACAACAAATTGTACTCACACTGAAATAAAGTACTTCACATGTCTGACCATATGACTAAAAAAATACAGGTGTTGCGTGTAAACTAATCTTTACTTGGCACTCTGACTAAGAAGGCATTCATTTATTTATGCAAAACAAGTTGTAATTAAAATAAGATTTATTTAATATGGGTACAAAATTAAGTGTTAATTACTATACACAAAAGAGTAGTGTTGCTATTAAAATTTTAACTAACGTCTGTATAATGGGAACAAACTTTAATCAGTACATTTTTTAAAATGTTAATGGTCTTAATACTTTGAAAAATAATGGAGAAGTGGCGATTGGCAGTATTTATTTTAAACTATTCTTTTGGTAATTGATAATAACAATATTAAGGTGAGCGTTTTGTTTGATCATTTTAAAAGTTGTTTAAATACTTACTGTTTAACATCTCCAGATGTACTGGCAGCTTCTCACCTAACAGCTGCTCATCTGGCAGCTCAGTCATGAATTATCATCCCAGTAATTCAGGTTGGTTTATGTTGAAAAAAACTTGAACATATTAACTCAGTCATTACAATAACTAGGGATTTCAATTGAGGCCAAAACATTACTTTTTAAAAAGTCCCTAAATATTAGGTTTTGGGCCTGTGTTTTACTAAAAGTATTCTGTTTATCTGATTTACAGTGAAATTGACACCAAATTGCACCCTCTCAAGTGTGACTTTATTAAGGCTATTATGGCCAGATAAATACCACATGGTTTTGGTAGTATTCAATCCCTGTGCCTAAAGAATATGAATTGTTGTGTAATGAACAAACAATCATGCTATTGGTAGAGTTGATCAGTAAGTGAAGACATTCAGTGGTCTATCATTGTGGCAGCATATCAGTAACTGAAGATATTTACTTGTCTATCATTTTGTCAGCCCTACTCTAGACAGCATAATATGCTCATACATTGTAAACAGTTTTTTAATCAACTTTTCTTATCAAGATCCTGTCAGTGGTTGGGACTGGTGGTCAAATCTTTGAACAATTTTATTTTTACAAGCTTTTATTTAGTTCGCAACGTTTGTGGGTTTGTGGCAAATCTTAAAACTCAATTTTGACCCACTTCTAATGCAGCTATTTTCTTCAAACTTTCCATATATGTTCTACTTTGGTGACAATCCAAGTCTATCTATTTTTTAATTTAATTATTTAATGTAATAAGTCATTAAAAATTAAACTGTTTTGAAATTAAGGGAAGATAACAAAAAAGATAACAACAGAAGGGGGAGATGACTAGCTAGCAAGCTTTTCAATGCACTGAAAATAAGAAAATAAAATTAATTTGCTTTCTTTCATAAAAGCTTTGGTTGCTAAAATATGTAAAAGATCTCACGAGTAACCAAAGCTTTTATGAAAGAAAGCAGATTAGTTTAATTTTCAGTGCATAAAAGCTTGCTATTAGAAAGGTTTTTTATATTTGTTTTATTCTATTGCAGTAACTAAATGCTGAACTGTCATAACTTTTATCATAGCTAACTTTTAAATTCACTCAAATTATAAAAATAGACTTGTCTTTCAGTGTTAAATAAAAGTAAAGGTAAACACATTGGTGGTTCTAGAAATATTTTCAGTGCTTTTTGCTAATATTTTATTTTTTCCTATTATAGCTAAAGAAAAATGTGTTTATTTTCTTACATCTAGTGCAGTATAATCTTATTGATATTGTAATAAGGTTTTTTATATTTCCCTGTGTGTTTAATTAAATGTAAAATATTTAGACATATATGAAATTACTGACAAAACAAATTGAAGTATCTTTGTTAGAATTATTACTTTATTGAAACATGTGTTAACAGAGGTTGACATGATACAAAAAAATCACAGCAATAATCTTATTTAATGTCTAGAGCGTATCATACAGACTAGATATTTTTAAAATTATTCTTCCCCTTAGTATTTTAAAAACATTTTTCTTCAACCTAATGTGATTAGGGAACTCGCAGCAATAATCAGACGAGATTTTTAAAATAATTATCTTATTGTCGAGCTGGTGTTTAAAAAAACATTTTTCTTTAATCTAGGATGGTTTGGTGAAAGTCAACTCCTAACATCCAAGGCTCTGAAGGACTTTTTAAATCACCAGCCTTCAGGTTGGTAAGTTGAAATGTACATAAGAACCAACCTCTCAACAGTTTACGGCTAGTATGGGATTAAGAAACCTGTTTAGACCTGGCAATCTTTTGGGTAGATGGTTCTTTATATGATTCTTGACCTTGGCATATAAAGGGATGGTGTGGTCAGCACTTTGCCCAGCCGCCCTTTGCTTTCCCTAATGTGAGTTATGTACCTATCAGAGCTTAGTAGACTCAAGGACGTTCCTCTAACTTGAACCAGGATTCAAACTCGAGACTTCAGGTTAGCAACCTAGCACTCTACCGCTTAGGCCACACAGTTAATATCGAGGTGTCAACTTTTATTTACTTAACTGACATAATGATACGTTGGATCACACATCATACAGAATTTTAATTGACAGAAATTTGCAATCATACATTTTTTATGGCTGACTATTGCAAAGTAATTAAAATGCAGTAATGAAAGATTTATATTTATAAATATGTACAGTGTCATGTATCTACATGGGTAGACAACTATCATAGAAATAGGTGTTTATACAAACAATATTATTTTAAACAAGATTAATATTCACATCATTTATTTTAATACACTGCAACACTAGTGTTGTAATGAAGACGTTAAAAATGTAAAGAAAACAGTGTAGAAACCATAAACAAAGACATTTTTTGATTACTTATTACTATCACTAACAACATATCAGGAAAAAATTTAAAAGGCAAGAGTAATTAATGAAGTACAACCCAGTTGATAGAAATTATTTGCAATTAAAAAGAATCATCAGTATGAGCACTTGTTTTGAATAAAATAAAAAATTTCATTGTTCGTATTTTTAAAATCAGCATTCTTAACATTGTGATAAAATTTCTGTATAAACACCCTTGCAATTTAAAAAAAAATAGTTTTGTTTGTTCAGCTAAAAATTAATTTAAATATGGCGTACAAGTGATCCAGCTTTTAAAAAAAAAAATTGAGCGTGATGTGTAAATAAAGCATGTGATGAAGTGCTCACACAGTGTGGTTCTGGAATGAGTTCCTAGAGGAACTGGAGTGTAGAGCCTCTGTTTCACAGTCTATCTGTTTCCAGTAGGAGTCTACTGCCAGTGGACAGTCTGAGGCACTGGTGACATCCACATTGATGGTCAAATCTCTGAGGATAGGCAACATAGCTTGCTGTTAATAGAGTTGCCAGTTTTTGGTAGCAAGTGGGTTAATGGCAATACAGCGTGCTGTTAATGGAGTTGCCAGTTTTTAGTAGCTAGTGGGTTAATGGCAATACAGCTTTCTGTAATAGTTGCTACTTTTTAGTAGCTAATGGCTTAATGACAATATAGCTTTCTGTAATAGTTGCTACTTTTTAGTAGCTAATGGGTTAATGACAATACAGCTTTCTGTAATAGTTGCTACTTTTTAGTAGCTAATGGCTTAATGACAATACAGCTTTCTGTAATAGTTGCTACTTTTTAGTAGCTAATGGGTTAATGACAATACAGCTTTCTGTAATAGTTGCTACTTTTTAGTAGCTAATGGCTTAATGACAATACAGCTTTCTGTAATAGTTGCTACTTTTTAGTAGCTAATGGGTTAATGACAATACAGCTTTCTGTAATAGTTGCTACTTTTTAGTAGCTAATGGCTTAATGACAATACAGCTTTCTGTAATAGTTGCTACTTTTTAGTAGCTAATGGGTTAATGACAATACAGCTTTCTGTAATAGTTGCTACTTTTTAGTAGCTAATGGGTTAATGACAATACAGCTTTCTGTAATAGTTGCTACTTTTTAGTAGCTAATGGGTTAATGACAATACAGCTTTCTGTAATAGTTGCTACTTTTTAGTAGCTAATGGGTTAATGACAATACAGCTTTCTGTAATAGTTGCTACTTTTTAGTAGCTAATGGGTTAATGACAATACAGCTTTCTGTAATAGTTGCTACTTTTTAGTAGCTAATGGGTTAATGACAATACAGCTTTCTGTAATAGAGTTGCCAGTTTTATAGCTTAATGGGTAAATATCAACAGCTTTATTTTAGTAGTTGCCAGCTTTTGGTATCTAATGGGTTAATGGCAACACAACCAAGAAAATTGACACTTTTTAGCATCTAATCTAAGCAGCTTTCTTTTAATAAAATTGCCAGTTTCTAATATCAGATAGCTTAATAATAATAAAATTGTAATTGTTTTACCAGTTATGTTGAGTGGTGTTTGACAAGGGAAATTAAGATTTGGAAAAATTATGAGTCTGCATTTAACTCTACAGTAATTTTAGTAGTTTTGATTAACACCCTTTCGACTTTGGTAGCCATTTATATTGTCATGTATCAGATAGAAGATAATCTAAACTCAAATTCAGTTCACTCTAGACAATCCAACACTAATGGTGTATCTGTTGAGTTACATACTGTACTACAAGACAAGAAATTTGCCATTTTGTGTACTCACTCTCTGTATTTCTTGTACCAAAACAGCCTGGATATTCCACAACATGACAGGTAGGCCTGACTGATGCGGCAGTAGCAACCAATCAGGATCAGGATCATGACAACCACAGCGGCTGTCAGGGTTCCTGCCACAATGTACAGGTTGCGCGTGTGCTGGGGGTTGTGAATTATCCCCCCTGCTATGTCCACGTCTTCGAGGATTGGAGAAAACAGATCAACTGAAATAGAGGGAAGTAATGATGATAATTTCATTAACTATAGATGTTCTGAATTAATTTCTTTAAAAATTTTGAATAAATATAATGATGTATTTGATAAAAAAAATAGGGCCTGAGTTAATGTAAAATTGAAACAAATATTTAAACATTTTTGTGTGTCAGGTTGTGCTTTTAAGACAGGTAATAATAATCTAATGCTGTTATTAGGAAAACTTCCTTATCTCTTGTGTACATTTATTCTCGAACAATAGTAACTACCTGTGTAGGAGCTACTGTAGAATGTGAAGTGAATGTAACTCCCATATAATCTGGCTATGTTAGAATGTGAAAGTGTTAAAACGTACGTGTAAACTGGCAGTTGGAGCCAGCATGTGAATGGATACATAAACACGTATGTGCGTTGACACCATCCTTACAGTGGCCACCAAACCTGCATGGGTTAGGGTTACAGTCATTAATATTCACCTCACATCTGCTACCTGTGGGAAGAAGTGTTACACTGGGTTAGGTTTACAGTCATCTATATTATATAGGTGAAATATATTTATTGTAAATGCCATTTTGCATTGTTAGTTTTTTCACAAAGTAATTTCATTGTTAGTGTGTTGATGGTCCAGTAAAATATAAACACTGTTTATGTAAGAGTATAGAGTGGCCTCCCATGGCAAGTTGGAGAGGAGTGGTGCCATGTTGAGTGTGAGCAGATCTTGTGTTAGCTGTGTTGATCTAGTTTCTAGTGGAACAACATGTGTTTTTTTTTTTTTTATTATTGAAAAGATTTTTTAAATTTTGTTCTTTTTTACCCTATCCACCCAATTGAACGATCCTAAAAACACAAAATTGTCAATTGTAACAGTTATTGTGATGTTAGAATTGTTAGTTTTTCAGGTACATATTTTAATATTATCATGTTAGAATTCTTACCATATTCTTTTTGCATGCAGAACATTTTTATCCTTACCGCTGTGTTGAGATTATTCAACATTGTTAAAACAATGGCAGCTAAGTGTTGATAGCATTAAAAAATAAATTCAGATGTCACTGTAGCCTCCCTACCTGTGTAACCTTGGTCACAAGTGCAGGTAAAGTTGTTGATCCCCTCCAGACATGTTCCATGAATGCAGGTGTTGGGAACACAAGCAGGTACCTGGTGTTAAAGAGATGAGTCAGCATTAACTGAGTGCAAGGTTCTATCTATATACCAACCAAACCAAAGAATCAAACAACGCATATCATGCTAGCATAGTTTCAAAATATCAGCTCTGGTTATTGTTTTTTTTTTTTAAATTATAGTGTTAGTAACGGTAGATTAGCTTATAATTTATAATTTGTTATAATTTAACATGGAAAGTAAATTTAAGAAAATGTATTAGGGAAATTTTAGATTTAATATACTAGATTCTACTGAGTAATAATAGTGCATTTTTAAAAATAAAGATTTGTTTACATTTTTTTTCCTTTGTTTCATTACTTATTCAGATGCACCATTTCATGTAGTTCATGTATGTAGGTGATATAGCACAACCTACCTTGGTAGAACAATCCCCCTGGCAACCAACCTACATTAGTAGAACAATCCCTGACTGCCCATCCAGAACCAACCTACCTTAGAACAACCCCCCCCTCAACAACCAACCTACCTTAGTAGAACAATCCCCCTGACAACCTACCTTAGTAGAACAATCCCCCTGACAACCTACCTTAGTAGAACAATCCCCCTGACAACCTACCTTAGTAGAACAATCCCCCTGACAACCAACCTACCTTAGTAGAACAATCCCCTGACAACCAACCTACCTTAGTAGAACAATCCCCCAACCAACCTACCTTAGTAAAACAATCCCCCTGACAACCAACCTACCCTAGAACAATCCCCCTGACAACCAACCTACCTTAGAAGAACAATCCCCCAACCAACCTACCTTAGTAGAACAATCCCCCTGACAACCAACCTACCTTAGAAGAACAATCCCCCAACCAACCTACCTTAGTAGAACAATCCCCCTGACAACCAACCTACCTTAGTAGAACAATCCCCCTGACAACCAACCTACCTTAGAAGAACAATCCCCCAACCAACCTACCTTAGTAGAACAATCCCCTGACAACCAACCTACCTTAGTAGAACAATCCCCCAACCAACCTACCTTAGTAAAACAATCCCCCTGACAACCAACCTACCCTAGAACAATCCCCCTGACAACCAACCTACCTTAGAAGAACAATCCCCCAACCAACCTACCTTAGTAGAACAATCCCCCTGACAACCAACCTACCTTAGAAGAACAATCCCCCAACCAACCTACCTTAGTAGAACAATCCCCCTGACAACCAACCTACCTTAGTAGAACAATCCCCCTGACAACCAACCTACCTTAGAAGAACAATCCCCCAACCAACCTACCTTAGTAGAACAATCCCCCTGACAACCAACCTACCTTAGTAGAACAATCCCCCAACCAACCTACCTTAGTAGAACAATCCCCCAACCAACCTACCTTAGTAGATTAATCCCCCTGACAACCAACCTACCTTAGTACAATCCCCCAACCAACCTACCTTAGTAGAACAATCCCCCAACCAACCTACCTTAGTAGATTAATCCCCCTGACAACCAACCTACCTTAGTACAATCCCCCAACCAACCTACCTTAGTAGAACAATCCCCCAACCAACCTACCTTAGTAGAACAATCCCCCAACCAACCTACCTTAGTAGAACAATCCCCCTGACAACCAACCTACCTTAGTAGAACAATCCCCCTTACAACCAACCTACCTTAGTAGAACAATCCCCCAACCAATCTACCTTAGTAGAACAATCCCCCTGACAACCAACCTACCTTAGAACAATCCCCCTTACAACCAACCTACCTTAGTAGAACAATCCCCTAACCAACCTATCTTAGTAGAACAATCCCCCAACCAACCTACCTTAGTAGAACAATCCCCCAACCAACCTACCCTAGAACAATCCCCCTGACTACCAACCAACCTACCTTAGTAGAACAATCCCCCTGACTACCAACCAACCTACCTTAGTAGAACAATCCCCCTGACTACCAACCAACCTACCTTAGTAGAACAATCCCCTGACAACCAACCTACCTTAGTAGAACAACGCCCCTGACAACCAACCTACCTTAGTAGAACTATCCCCCTTACAACCAACCTACCTTAGTAGAACAACCCCCCTGACAACCAACCTACCTTAGTAGAACAATCCCTGCCTGCCCACCCAGGCTGACAGTGGCACGTGAAGTCAAAATGCGTCCCCTCCATCTCCTGGCAGTAACCGTTGTTTTTACACGGGTTCAATGAACATTCCTGGTGCATTTCTGTACAGTTGTCTCCATGGTAACCTGAAACCATCGAAATATGTCAAACTTGTACTGTCATTTTCTATCCCATCTTTATGTTGGTTATTTTTTTTAAAGCTTGCCAATAAGCCTCGGTAACAAAGTCCCAAATAAACGTTCTTTTATTTTTCTTAGAACACAACCATCTATTTTTGTTATATGTTTAAAGTGTAATGAAAACAGCTAATTTTGAGCTCCAACAAACAAATGTGTCACGGTCTTGTGCCAATAAACGTTATTTAAGCTGTTCTTATAGTTCTTGCTATGCTGCACATGTTTAAAGTGTGTGTTGTAAATAAATGAAAATATTTTGTATAATGCCCTTCCCCCCCCCCCCCCCCCCCCCTGTCCTGTGGGGACTGAGTGATGCTTGAGTTAATGGTCACGCCAACCTTCTACTTACACTATATGGTAAATTGTCACGTGTCAACAATAATGGCTAGCCTGACATGACCATTTAGTATCCTGTCAAGGCGTTTCCAACAAAAGCAAACTACGATGCTTATTTAGTCAATTCTTACCCCCCCCCCCCCCCCCCACCTTTCTTTTAAAAAAAAAAACCTCCAATATGACCATTCTACATACGCCTTTCCCTCCCCTACAATTATTTAAAAAAAAAAAAAGTTTTCAAAGTTAAAAGACTATAGTTACACTCTCACCACACATTGTCACTAAAGTCTTACTACCCCAGTAGTGTGACATTTTAATCTAGAGACACACCCCCTTCTCCCCAGCAACAAATTTGACCAAACGTACTTATTTTGTACCTTCCTCTCAAACAATCGGTCTTCCGGTGCTACACTGATTGTTGCCGTCCGACCACCCTTCTCCCCCCCCCCCCCCCCACAAGATTTGACCAAACATTGTGTACCTGGCTCGCACAGACACAGGTAGCCGTTCCTCTGGTGCTACCCAGGATGTTGTCGTGTCTTACCCTCCTTCTCCTCCCCCCCCCCCCCACTGGATTTGACCAAACACAATGTTGTACCTGGCTCACACAGACACATGTAGCCGTTCCTCTGGTGCTACCCTGGTTGTCGTGTGTCTCTCCTCCCCCCCCCCACCACGAGATTTGACCAAACATTTTGTACCTGGCTCACATAGACATAGGTAGCCGTTCCTCTGGTGCTACCCTGGTTGTCGTGTGTCTCTCCCCCCCCCCCCCCCCCCCCACGTGATTTGACCAAACATTTTGTACCTGGCTCACATAGACACAGGTAGCCGTTCCTCTGGTGCTACCCAGGTTGCCGTGTCTCTCCCCCCCCCCCCCCCCACCCCGACTAAGAGATTTGACCAAACATTTTGTACCTGGCTCACATAGACACAGGTAGCCGTTCCTCTGGTGCTACCCTGGTTGTCGTGTCTTACCCTCCTCTCCCCCCCCCCCCCCCCCCCCCACCCCGACTAAGAGATTTGACCAAACACATTTTGTACCTGGCTCACATAGACACAGGTAGCCGTTCCTCTGGTGCTACCCTGGTTGTCGTGTCTTACCCTCCTCTCCCCCCCCCCCCCCACCCCGACTAAGAGATTTGACCAAACACATTTTGTACCTGGCTCACACAGACACATGTAGCCGTTCCTCTGGTGCTACCCTGGTTGTCGTGTCTTACCCTCCTCTCCCCCCCCCCCACCCCGACTAAGAGATTTGACCAAACACATTTTGTACCTGGCTCACACAGACACAGGTAACCGTTCCTCTGGTGCTACCCAGGTTGTTGCCATGTCCCTCCCCCCCCCCCCCCCCACCACGAGATTTGACCAAACACATTATGTACCTGGCTCACACAGACACAGGTAGCCGTTCCTCTGGTCAACACACTGGCCGTGTACACAGGGCGACGGCTCGCACTCGTTGATGTCCACCTCGCAGTGCGTGCCAGTCAGACCGGAAGGACACAGACAAGAAAAATGGCTGCTGTTGCCGAGACACGTGGCGTTGTTGAAACAGTCGACCATGTTGCATAAATTCTCGGTTTGATTCTCGCAGAACTGACCAAAATAACCTGAAATAGAAATTCAAATTTTAAAATCACTTTTGATCAAAATTCAGCTACTGGTAACAAAAGGCATACGTTTTAGTAGGCTTAACTGTCAGTGTTTCTTTCAGACTTTTCTCCGGGGGGGGGGGGGGGGCACTTGAAGTTTTCAATTTTCGGGGGGGGGGGGGGAGGGACGGACGACGACACTGTCAAAAGTATATATTTTCTATATAAATTCCATTTCGTTCGGGGGGGGGGGGGAGCGATAAAGCGCCCCCCCCCCCCTCAAGAAGAGATGCCTGGAAGAAACTGTATATTTTTCTTAGTTGGTTGTGTGGATGAATTTAGGGTCAAATTTCGTTGGAAGGGGAGGTGGGCGAGTGGTTCATAATTTTGGGAGGGGGAGGGTGTTGGAAAGAGTGACGACACATTTTAAAAAGTAGTTAATATTTCACCTTTTAAAACGATGCTTTTTTTTTTGGGGGGGGGGGGGGGGATTTTAATAGAAATCGGTTAGTTAATTATAATATTATATATACAATGTTGACCGAGCTCAGGAAATATCTGAGAAGGAAATTGATGTTTTAAAAAACAAGAGATATTCGTTTTTTTTTTTTGGGGGGGGGGGGGGGGGAGGATTGTAAGCTACGGTGTTATTTTAGGGATGGGGGTCTGGCTTTTTGTGAAGCTAGGGAAGGGGGTGGGGAGATAAAAATAATTTTGGCCATACAAACTTGATTTTCGATGACGCTAGAAGTTGAATAGGCATATATACTTAGTATTGAACTAATTAAAATTTTAAATTGGTTGTTCGAAATTAATTTAAATATTTCTATATCTAATTACAAAGGGGAGAAAACTAAGGACGATTCCGTCAGACAGATGACTGGGGTAAACTGGATGTTTTTCAGTGTGCTG